GTCCAGTTAGCTGGGCTCCTTTTCTGCTTTCGGGTTCTGGATAATGACTGTTGATATAGATAAATCCCTCGTGTCGGTTAATAAGACGTTAGTTTGCTATATTGAATTTCTGTAGGCCCGTTATTATTCACTGGTTACAGTTATGTGGAAAGGAAGCACATTATCATTCGGTGAGCTAACAACTAAGAAAGTTGTTTATGCCTCATTCGGATAGCCAGTAGTCTCAACGGTTGGAAGACGCCAAAATTTAAGGTATTTTAACCACATCTTTAGTGGATTTAGTTGAGGTTTTGGACGATGTGGAGTTGCACGCTTCTACGATCTTTTGTACTTTCATACGTTATTTTGGACCGGCTGCCTTTGATTGTTCCTTCTGAGATTCGGACAACCAGATTTGCAATAGTAGTCGCTTCGCCCTTGGGCCCGACTGTTCCAGTTCATTAGCTGTCTTCTCAGTTGATAATGACAAAGTACGATGCGCACTTTTTTGTTTTCGACACGGTAATGTGATTGAAAAACCGTGAAGAACTATGGGCATCTGCTACTATTCCCCGGGCTTTGTTCACAGTGGATGCCTCACTGTGGGTCTTAGTTTATCGGTTTTGTCAGGAATGTCTCAGTAGGGAAGAACTGTTCCTCCAGGCGTTATTCAATTTGTCATGTGTGTGTTCAGGTATGTAATGCAGAGGATAGGGATCACTCACGGTTTACAGGCTGTCAGTGCACATTGATAACATCATGATTATTGTGAAACCTTTGCAGGCATACTGTTAATCCTGACGAATAGGTCAAAAGCAATCCATTTAACAACCAACAAAAGTATCCAAGCTGAAAACGTTCTGATAAATTAGGAAATTGAGGCCCAGTGATAATGTATAACTAAACATGAATTATCACATTAGTTTTGTGATCATGGAGAGTTCTAGTGCCTCGAATGATTGAACTATATAAGTTGAAAATTTTATCGTTTTGCTTATCTTCCCAGAGCATTTTCAGCAGTGATTTGCTCAGCATTTGCGGTTGACTGATTTATTTAACCTAGACTGTGCTTCTGGAAAACTAGATGTGCTTTGACTAAGACTTTTGTTTGCTGCTTTACAAGTTGCTTGGGTAGCTGATATCACTTTGGCTGAAATGGGCTGCAATTAGTTATCTTTCGGGTTGGTAAGAAATGATAAGACAACATGAATGAAAGCAAATAGCATAATTGAAGGCTGATAACACGGGTAAAAAGTTGAGGGATAAAATAATTGACGTAACAAACGGATGTGTACAAAGTAAATGCACCAGGCGGTTTATCGGCAAGTGGTCTTTATTAAGCATTTGAATAATCATGGGTTCCGACATAACACAACCGTATTCCACACACCGTTTTCATCATTGTTTAACTGCTTTAGAAAGACAGCAAATTGCGATTGACAGCTATGATCTCAGCTGCGTGGATGGCCGATTGTAGTAAGTCCAAATGCAAACAAATTATATGGTGGTCCCTGTTCTTTGTGCTTACGAACTCTTGAAGCGTGCTTCAGTCGATCAGCAGCTTTTCGGTTCGAATGATGATAGTAAACTAATAAATGAAAGCGAAAGCATAAAACCAATGTATGAACAATGCAAAAATCATGATGGTTCTAAACATAACTTTGATTTTTGACAGAGTTATTGCTTCTAGCTGAGGTGAAGGCAATCCTTTATAGCTTCTGCGCTGAACACACTTGTGGAAATATCTTCGTAAGATAGCGTAAGAAATGACATAATCGGTGTTTTGACAGCTTTTTTGCGCATGAAAAGCTAGAAATCCTAAATTGTTACGATAAAGATATGAAGACTCAGCATTAGGGTGGAAGAAATGAAATACCATAGGGAGTATAAAGAAAAAGCTATTTTTAGCCTTTACCGATCACGTAGTTTACTGCGGGACGGATAAAGAGTTTTTCACTGATTTTATTCTTCGACATTTGACAACCGCAAGTAGGTGTACGTTGTATTCAGTACCCAATACTTCCTTTTACAGATATGGTGGAGGTATTTCTGATCAAAATTTAACCCTCACTACAGTAAACCGGATCCAGAACATTGGTTTTTACTACTTTGGGGTGAGCTACGCCACCACGCTCTCCACAATCTTCTAACCTGACTAAATATAGAAGGGTCAAACATATAGTTACGGAACACTTATTCATTCCTTTGAATTTTAATAAACCAGACCTACCACTGCAAAGTGCAATATCTGCCATCTACGTTCACCATGAATCATCTTGGCCGCTCATGCATCTATCGACAACCCAAATGCCTGCTTCAGCGCAAGCAATTTTGCGTACCATTTGCGTACCAATTTTGCGTAACATGGTTAGGATTGCACACTTATGTCACCAAATTAACCGAATTCCACCTACAAACCTATTCAAACAATTCCAATCCATGTGTTTCAAAACACGCTTAATATCCAGAAGTGCCGAAAGAACTAGCTTTCTGCAACGATGTGATGCAGTCCGAAAATTGTCTCCCCTCTTTATTGAGACCTACCACATGGGCGTAGTACGATAAGGCCCGCGAGTGTTGGTTAACACCATCAGGCTGGAGCATTTAAATCAAGTGTTTTTGAACCACCTCGTGAAAAGCCTATAATCGCATTTCAGACTGGATTTGACCTCGGAACTGCTCCAAATATATACTGAGGATAGGCGCTATTTGTCATAAATGCTGGACATACTCTCAAAATATAGCTTGTTACCTAGTCGCCGGGTGGCATATCATCTTGTAATACCATGTTAGCTAGGACAATAAACGGTGGTAAAGAGGAAGACAAAAGCACCAAACAAGTGCCTCTTCAGAATCTCCGCAGTCTGTGGAGTGTTAAGACCAAGCAGTTGATACACATCCGTGATTCAGAAATCTTATGTTTTCTAAGTGTGGCTGGATTTGACCGTATGAACGGTTATGAGATCTGCTTCTGCCATATGTTTAGGGTTCATAGGTAAGATGAAACGCATGTATAAGTTTTTGGCTGTTTGGACCTATTCAAACGATAATACAATACGTATACCCGCAAATGCATTTGGGCGCTGTCAATCTAGGTTTAAGGATGTGGTTAGATACTGACCGTAGCTACAAGCACTACGAATGCGTTCGTTCTGGCGATTGCATTGGAATCCATTTTCTGACAGTCATGGAAACACAAACAAAGGAACCAAGGAGAGAGCACTTTTGCCTATGCACGTGAGTGGACAAAGTACAGGCAGGGTGAATAGCAAAGTGTTATATTGGTGTTGTTGCACAAGTATGCTGCAGATAAGCAAAAAATATTGATGTTATTTTCTGCGAGGGTTTGTCATAGGGGTTCATTTCAATCACTTTCATTGTGCGTACAATCTCCGGATATACATGCAAACAAAATGGTGCTTAAGTTAGCAGAAATGCCTAAGGATCCGGAAACTGCACCTAAACAATTAGCCCTCAAGCAGGGCGGAAATGGACGCGGTTTGTTCGCGAATCATTTATGATCGTTACGTACTACTCATATGTTTTTGGAAAAACGCGTCTTATGGCTCGTAAAACCTCAATCATTTACTTGATAATGAAAGGCACGTCTCAGAGGAACAAACTAACAAAATTTTCTTTCCATAATTGAATTAACAGTCATATGGATCAGTGATTGTCAACATATAAGACGGAGATGCTGTTTCGGACAATATATCACAGATTATTATTATCATTATTATTATTATCACCGGTTTACTCAAACTCGACAATCTTGTAAAGCCGTTAAAATTCCCGTTTCTTAAGGTGGCCTTGTTCAAGACGGGATGCGTGGAACAAAAAGTTTAGATGATAGTGCTTTTTACCGTTTAGCTTCAGCCGATAAAATCAAATAGTTATGATATTTTGAGGTTAGTTTATCAACTGCGCACTTTCTAATCATAAAATTATTTAAGCCGAGCTCAGTTGCACGTGAACGACATTATTATTAATCGTAATCACCTACTATAAAGGTATATATATAGTTGACGAGAGTTAAGCTTCCACATTTTGCGTGACTGCTGTAGCAGATTTGCCTTTCGTGTGTTAGATATATATTTTTTTATTTAAAAAAATGTTTGCTGGTTGTTTGCGATTAAAAAAGTGCTTTAAGAATAAGACATAGCTTCTAGGTGCTGTTCAGATTGTAAGCTAACAAATTCATTAGCGCTACTATCAAAAGTCAGTTTTAATTTTTTTTTAATTTTTGGTTAATGTTTGGATTGTCCTTTTTTTCCATGGTAGCATATTACTCGGCGATTTGCGTGTAAATTTTGAAAATGATTGTTAACCTCCAACTTCGCATGTCAACATTGGTTTTCAGTAATTTAGTTTGTAAAAAAAAGGAAAAAAATTTTTGGCAATTTAAAAAATGTACCTGACGGATGCATGTGTTACTGCATAAAATCGTCTGAAATTCGGTATGGCGGCAACCCCACTCACCGATAAGGCTGGACTGCAAACGGTTCACGGGGCTCATTTAACAAAATGTTGTAACCCTTAGCATGAGAGTGACAGAATGTAGTATTTTATAGTTTGTTGCTAACTGGTTTCGTGCCCATACACGATGTCCTATTTGAGCACGTATATGAGCTTGCCGATTTCTCCTGGAGACCTTCGTAAAACGAGGAGTTTTGTTACAAAAACACTTTCGTACGTAACTTATAAGACATTTACACAGAAACTAAAATGAACGCAGAAATATCGTCAACTTAAATTGAAACGTATGTGTAAATGGACAGAATTTGGATCCAACAACTGAAGTTCATTTTAGCGGAAAACAGTTTTTACATGTGAGATAACAGTTTGCAAACTTGGAACTGCCGTAATTCAGTATTTTTGATAGGTAGAATGGGTATTGAAATATTCGGGGCACTTTTACCAGGTAAAGGTTCGTAGCTACTCTTAGAAAAACCTTTTAGTGCATCCGTTGATTTTAGTGCGACTAGCGGTACTAATACGTCGAATGATTTTTTCTCCCACAGACCGAGCTATCACAAGCACTCCAGTCACTTTCCGAAAAAGCCCGCACAGGAACAGAATTTATTCAACAGCTTCGCTCAAAAACAGAAGCCGTAAATGTGAGTCTCATTACAATTTGAAAGTGCTTGATAACTAGGAGGACATTTGTACAGTGACTTTTTTAACGTCATACGAAGCCACATGAAGTGACCTTTCCGCATTGCAACAGAATCATGAAATAACTTTCGGAATAAAACATGGAATAAGCATTTTTCAACAACCCAGTTTTTGCGTTTATTTTATACCATAGACCATGTTCACAACAGTGCTTACAAAACTCCATATGTTCAATTTATCAGCATTAACTGGGGTCTGAGTTTTTGTCAGATAATCTAAACAAACAAGATGAACAAAACGTGTCCGCTTTTTGATGAGATATTATTATGCCACCGATGACAAATTGGCACGCAATGGTGTCATTGTCCTTGGAGTCCTTGAACTAACACTGGATAAAACCCTCCTTTTTAAAGGAAACTAATGTGATGCGTATCCGTATTTCACCTATCCTAGGACCTTTAAGCTATGTTACTGCACAAATTCTCATTACGCTGGCTCGGATGTCACATTACTGGCGAGTTAAAACCACAACAGTAACACCACTGTTATAATTTTTCATGTTTTGAAACGCAAGTACACATTTTGTGGCTACTGATGCGATCTAGGGCTATTTGTTTGACTTAATCTAAATTACTTCTGTTGCAAGAGTTTGTTCGGCTTCCCCCTCACCAAATATCCACCTGATGTTTACCCTCTTTGTAGATTTGTTTTGGAGGAAAAAACTCTCCAACTACTTGCAAGCAATTTGTAAGCTGTTGCAGGATTTTCACGCGCAAGAAGCCGTGACGCTACCTGACTAAGGCATATCGAAGGAGGACTCAGTCAAACGACTCATACAACAGCAGCTAAAATCATGGCAGAATGCTATTGTGGTGTGATATGAGACAATTAGCATAAATCACTTACACAACCCACCGGGTGGAATAATATGGAGATAGGATTGCGCGAATCAGGGTGGTATTTTCACTCGTGAATGGTTTGCACTGAGTTCAGCATGGCGCGATTACGTCTCGAGCGTGAGTCAAAGAGGCACAAAACTTTCCGATGGAAAATTCTGGAGAATATTTATCTGAAAATTCCTCCAACATTTTGAACAGGCTGTTTTTTTATCAGGTTTTTCAGCTTTGCCTGAGTCAACAGATAAACTGATCACGTTGCCGGGGCATCTTATGTTCATCTTTTCGGAAATCGTCGTCCCTAAATTCTATCTCACACACAAATATATCGGACAGCGTTGGCTCCGGGGCATAACTTTGTTGAAGTGCTGGTGATTCCATACATTCCTATTGAGAACACACACCATTGTGCCGTTGGGTAAACCGCACATTTGTCATACTGAACGATTCTAGAAAAGACCATTTCCCACCGGTTAAACAAGGTTCATCTCTCTATTCAGTTAAGACCGGCATTTCTGTTTTTTTCGAGGCGACAGCATTATTCAAGCCTTGAATGATATCATCCAACAGTATGTATTGTGAAAATTAATAAATTTGCACTTTCAAAAGACCGCAATCCGTTTTTTACTCCCTCCCTAAAATAGCAATAAAAATCTGCACGGAAGGTGTCTCAGCAGATAAACCAACATATGCTGCTTCCATACTACGGGAGAACAGATTCACAGAGACTCTCAATGAACGCCGTTTAACATCCCTAGTAAAGCAATCTGTAATCCAAAGCGTCAATTAAAAGCTGTTTTATGTACATCTTTCTTTTAGAGGTGACGTTTTTCAGACTTTCGTAACCAACAGCATATAACTCCTTACGCAGAATGTCTACCACAGCTTCGCGTTGGTTCTGGTTTTCTATGTTGGCTTGAAGTATCATACTTATAATGCAAGTGCCCATCTCCTCCGCTACTTTACAGATGAATACGTCGGATGCACATTTTAGGAATCAAACTGGCTAATTAATGGGAGCAATCCGCTTGAATGCGGAAAGCTCTCTACCACCGACTCTGTAGTGCATCATCCAGCGGACACATCATTTGGTGAATATGAGGTAACTCTGTCAAGTGATCTGCGAAACACCATCTAATCAAAATCGACCAATACATAGTTGGATGATCGAGGTATCTAAAGTTATAATCTTCATCGAAAGAAGTGCTTTTTTGAGCACACCACATCTAGCTTATTCCAGGTCACTTCCCGGATTATGTGTCCACCATCATACGCATACACACAACCCCATTGGCACAGTGATGCCTCTAAGACGTCACAGCGGTAATCTAGACTGTAATCTAGACCGTTTCGCGATTAAAAATCAATTCTGTCAGCACCGTATGTTGTATTGACTTTGAGTTCAGTAGTAAATCATTTGAAATTGTATTGACTCGGTGAGACTTCTTCGAGAAACACGGTCGTTCATATGTCTTTCTTTTATAGAGAATCCAATGGTTCAGAACACTATATAGACTTTTTCACCAGGCTTGTTTGATATCAAGGAGTGACAACACGCCATGTATTGAAATTTATGTCTATCGCGGGATTAGCATTTGCAGAGGAAAAGAAGACATAAAATTTCACACACAAATGGCACGGCATCCGGTAACACGTTTTGCATTCTGCCAAAAGGATATCAACTAATGCAAATCATCAGTTCCTGGACAGTTAATTAGTAGTTGCGTAGATTGATTTCTCCTCTTGCTTACTGGGACTTTCGGGAGGAGTTTGCCAACCATTTCACACGCAATACTAGGGGAATATGCTCAAGGTCATTATAGAAATTCTGTCTTATCGAAACAGGATCGTCTGTTTTTTATGGTAGAAAGTCCACAGTAAAACAGTAATGACGGGAAAAAATTTTGGCATTGCACGGGAGTCTTTTAGGTCTTTAGGTAGGAGATATACGGATCTTAGATTCCTTTTTCTATCACACTGACGAGTGAATCGATGTGAGTTTTTAGCGCAATATCTCATATTGACTTTAATCATTGGTAGGTTATCCGCACAAACTTTTGCACAAAAAATTTAGGAAAAAATGCTGTTCCTGGGCCAAGCTTTTGCACAAAAAATTTAGGAAAAAATGCTGTTCCATGGGCCAAGCAGTTTGGTTTGATTGCATTGCCGTCAATCACGTCGTGTTGTTCCGTGGACAACCTGGGACGACCAGATAATGGTTTGTTAAGAGCAACGATTTCATTTTAAAACTGAGAGAAGAAACAATGACCACATACATAATACATTTAGTTCCCTGAAATTATCCATCAGTTGTTAAGCTGATGTCACTTCTAGATCATTCACCTGCAAAGCCTTTGAGAGATTTTTTAGGCCGGCAGCGTTTTAGGATCTCTTACCATCTCACTCCCTTGCAAAGTAGAACATTTTAAACAAGCGTTCACCTTCGCTGCTCTGAAGATCAGAACTTGAAGTTTCTTCTTGGAAAATGCTGCTTCCTGTGTAAAGCACAGACCGGAATTTCTCGGTCGAACTGTTCCTTAGTCAAGGTAGCACTCTGTGGACTTGGTTTTCTAGGATGTGAGCTCTTTGAGGTTACAAGTTGACACCTGAAAGAGCTGTTGACTCAGAAACAAGTTAAAGATGTAAGTGACCTATCTGCACAGGCGGTACGCTGCAGAAAATTCATACTCAGTTCAACTTATTACATCAACAATAAAATCATAAACACAATCATTATGCGCGTTCGATTAGTTACGAAAAACGAACCAAGATACTAACCGAAGTACAGCAGGTGGGCCAAACAAGGACAATCAAATATCTGCTAGCTGTAAACATTGGTGGTCTTTGCACAGCTGAACTGCTTGGTAGACGAAGATATCATGTGCATCTAACAAAAGAATAGCCATTTCTAACGTGCGACAATGAGCACATTATTGGATATTGAATTACAACCAAATTTACAGACTCAGCTGCACGTTTTACAACTAACGTCATTCTGGCAGCAATTTAGCGTCGTTTGCATGTCAAAGTGTTGCGGTGTTAAAAATGCATCCACAAAGGAGACGTGTATCCGGAAAGTCTATCTGTGCTGGATCACTGATTATCAAGAATTTCTCTGAAATCCTCCTGATCGAATTCATTTATTGTTTTTGTTCATATTCTAACACGTAACCTATGCATTTTCTGAGTCTGAATAGGGAGAACGCTTTCCGATCTTCCTGTGACTCTTAACTATTCATAATTTGACTAAAGTTTCTAATAGCGTAAACAGTTGGGGACAATTGACCATTGTCATTGGACCAGTGATGCATAAATAGTTTGCCAAATCATGGGCGTTTCTTGGCACATACATAAAATCAGCAAACAATGAGGTTCAATAACACATATCAGCTAACCTAATTTAGCGACGCCAAAGGGGTGTGGCCAGTTTTGGAATACATGCGTTTGTGTAACATCGCATCATTTTCGGAAGGATTCCGGTTAGTTTAAGTTCATCCTTGGTTGTTGATATGGTAAGGCATGGTTATCAGACCAATCACTAGTCTGTCTCATCGCGTTAACTGGATGACTGGGCACTGGAACTTTATGTTGGTTCGGTGGAGGATGCTGTTAAAATGCAGAGAGATATCTAGCCATCAACTGATCTGATCAACGCTTTTTTTTAAAAAACTCGGGGTTGTAATCTCCAAAATAAAATACGCGTTAAATTAAGGCAAATAATAAACGTTGTGAAGACAGCCTATCGATGGATGGAACAGGTGTGCTTTTCGGAGCAGAAGAGTCTACTATTGACCACCAACAAGTAACACTCTTTTCTGGGAGAGTTAAAAGTCCGAGGAAACACCAGAAGTTTGTTGGATTTCACCAGAATCAGGATTTGGATGTGATGACGGAGAAGATGAAAAGCCAAGGTCAAATTCCAACAAGAGCTGATGGCCAGTTTGTTTCACATTGCTGCTTTCCGTGAGAAATCGTTAAGTTTATGCTTGCGTCAAAGTACAAAAAGACGTAAATCCCTTAGCTTCATCAGAATCCCTATCTACGAACGAATCTCTGAACCTCACGAGTAGAAGCAAGTATGGTTAACTAGGTTCTGCTACTAAGCTGATAAAACCCGGATTTTAGCAAAAAAACTCTCACGATCCCTTTTCCACACAGTCCTAAGGCACGTTTTTCTAGAAATGCATCCAAATTTAAAAATATGAGACCTATTGTGTCAAACTCAGACAGAAAAACACACCTTTGCAAGCTTAATTGATTGCCACAAAAATGAACGAAAACCTGGCCCACTAAATGATGAAGAATATAGATAAAATATCAGCAGACTGTTTTCATAAGGTTACCAAATAAAACGGACGCTCACTTTTCCAGAACTGTAGGGGAGAGTTCTCGCAATGCGAACAGGGAAGGTTTAACAGATTTGACGCATTGCTGGCCATCATATGAGGCACGGCAATTTCAAGAAAACTTCGACTTTCAGTTTTTGATTGATGGTTTAAGCTGTAAGTTGAGATAAAGCCTAATCATCATCATTGTGTCGTTTGTAAACAGACAGTGTATCAAAGCATATTCACGTTGTTGCAGTGACTTACAATACCCTTTATTCTATCAATAAATTATGATAGTTATGTGGTTGAATACAGTGATCGGATAATACCGGCTGGGCTAATAATACAGATACAGACAACTTTTCGAGGGAACACACTTGTTGGTCAACGATGAAATTAGCCATTAATATCAGTTTTATTTAGTGCGGTGTCCGCTTGGGTAAAAAACACCAAATTCAACAGGCTGAAATACACTAAAGGGTTTATGAAATCTGAGCTTTGTCTGTCCTCGAGCGGTTAAATACCGCGCATCAGTTTTGGGTTTGCCATTTTTAAGACGATTTTTTTACACAAGAATAAACTCCGACCGTAATGTCAATAATCTACACGGGCTCAAACATGGGTTAATCTTGCCATGCATTAGCCGATAGTATTTTTGAGGTTATCCCGCTCGTGGCTAAATGTATCCTCTGCAATTTATGTTTTCAAACCCGTAGCAAAAAATGCTTGAATCGGAGCGTCTGGTAATCGCTCAGCTGAACATTTTGTTAGAGGTGCTAGAAAAGAAGAAACTGGAGCTTACTAACAGGTTACGAGAAGCACGAGAATCAAAGTTGTGCAACATGAAGGGCCAAATAAGTCAAATTACCGGATTGTTAACGCGATCGACGGGGCTCATTCAATTCTGCATAGAAATGTTGAAAGAAAGTGATCCGTCGGCGTTTATGGTGGTGAGTTTTTTCCGTGACTGCATGACACTTTTACGAGTTTTGCGCTGTAGCCGACCACAGTTGACGACTATAAGCAGTTTTCAGCTGTTGTAATTTAATGTCGGACTAGTTCGCATTGTGGTGGATATTAGCAGTTCTATCTGTGACCAAGTTCAATTCAATAACTAAAACTTGAAAATACTAAGCAGTTGCATGGCACTACGTTTACTAAAGGATGAAAACTGCTCAATCTAATAACATAGAACATAGTTGGTGAAGCAAAATTCTCGAAACGAAACTCTTCGGATTTTGATTTCTTCGGGTGAATTAAGCCTCTTTATCTTTCATCGTTCTAAACCCATTTGATCAACATTCCTCAAGGAGTATAAGTATTCAAATAATTTGAAAGATATCCTGAGGTATTTGGAGACGTTATCAACCACTTTGGAATTTTTAACCTCAAATATATGAACTAAATAATGCAGCCGCTAAATCCGCTTCCTACGCTCCCTAATAGCACAATTGATATTTTTGCGTGTTCTTCAACGGTACTGAGAAAATAAACACCCCGCTTCTGGCCTCAAAACAGCCATTTATATAGTGGATTATGTCCCACCATTCTGAACTTTGGAAGCGCTTTGACTGCTCGTTGACATATCTATATATATACATTAATGGACAACCCAAAAGACACCTTACCTCAGTTATCATTTTTAGAGTAGCTACTACTCAGCCATGAGTTATGGCCCATTGTAGTTACGCACTATATTAGCCAGTAGACCTTGTCAGACTCGTCAGCGACCAAATAAGGTCACGGTTTGACACAATATCAATCAGCCACTAGTGTCTCAGGGACCATGTTTTGAAGTTACGATTATTCTAGCGATCGTATTCTACGTGGGATTTAAGACCCTGAAAAGGACGCTTACTTTCAGCCCACTATATAACTAAGAGTACAATAATAAGCCAATTGCGCTCAGTAACTCCGCAGGTGTACACTCATGAACCGGTTGTCATACAGTCTACCTATTAGGCGAAAGCTGTGAATGTTGTTAGCTAACACAACTGTCGTTCATGAACGGTTCAGTCCGTCGGTTTGACCAGGCAAATCCCCAGCCCCTTGAGTTCCACCAACCCTAACGGTTGTAAGAATCTAGGAAATGCAGGAGTTGCTCTTTGCAATGAGAAGGGATGAAGTTGGTTTGAGGCGGGAAGTCATATGGGATCTTGTGATGATTGAGTTCCAGCACCTTTGTCCGATTTTGGGAATGTTTATATGGGTTTCACTTGTATGTCATTGAAGAAGGCTGTAGTTCCAGTGAGATTTGAATAAATTGAAGACTCATGTCCAGTTACAGTTCTTGGGACTTAAATATCAAATTCATTTGTGAAACAATTCGTAACTCTCTTTCAATGTTTTATGTAGTTAGGCTAATCGGTACTAATTCAAATGACTCACTGAATGTCCATAATTGGGACGGAAAAGCTCTTGTCCAAATCGGAACACGATACAAATCGTGCACTTGATTGATCACCACAATGGTGAAATATCACCCTGCACTCTCTAGCGGACTTTTAGGTTAGAGCTAACAGCCGTACGCTCCTAATATCTTTTCCTGAAAGTTTTGATAAACATCGGTAGTTTGTCATTGGCATTTGGCGCTCGGGTCCAGTAGAACCAAAAGAAAGGGCTGTCAAAGTTTGACCCCTACTCGAAAGCGGTTAACCTTAACCAAAATTGAGGGGATATCTGTGTGCCAAAATGGTTTATGGAAGTTGTTAAAATTGTTGGACACACTGCGTGTGCATTAAATTTTGGTGAGATTATACATTGATCATACATTAACCAGCAGCAAGCTCCTGTTGATTACGTTCACAAAACATAAAATGATAATGAGCTTATATTTGACAGGTATCGCAGTCACTGATCATGCGAGCCAGAGACGCGGAATACCACTTCACACAGGAACTAGACCAAGCGGTACCTACAAGCGACCAGGAAGATTCGGACGTCTATCAGTATCCTGCAAGTCCAGAACACGAGGTGCATCTATCCAAAGGAGTCGTTAGAAAGGTACCTAATAAGAACATGAGGAAATACGACAGGAACGTAAGCGAAACCAGTCTGCATGGAAACGCAGTGGAGGCAATTAGACAAGCAATTTTAGAACTTCGTCTTCAAGAAGATCAAAGTAAGTGAAAGAAACTTCTTTTACCACTGTAAACAAACAGTATGGAAAATGGGAGCCAAACATGGCTATTTCAACAGTTCTCACATATAAATTGGGAGCGCAGAGTTCACTTGCATTGTACAATGACTCTACCAGCCTTACACTTTAAAGTCACTGATTGTACTTAATGAGCTTATATGCCACCAAATAATCTTTCTTAATGAGTGGCCCTTGAAATTTAGACTTACTTACGTCATAAGTGCTCCCAGGTATTCTCATCAGATCATGCAGATTACAACAACTTTGATACTGAACTTACGTCAGGTTTGTAACATTTATTATGCCAGGTTATAAGTCTCTGGAATTTCGATCGTTTGGTAGTTAATGCGCCGAATATGGACGACATACGGACCACAAAAGTACGAATCATGCTTGCCAGTTTCCACCACCTGTGGCGTCCGAAGGCGCGCGAACCGCATTGTTAGTTATATTGTTAGACATCTGTGAGAAAAGGTTGTGCAAGCGGCGTGTACAAATTGTTTACAAGCCTTCGACAATCAGTGTCTCAGAAAGATAGATGGGATAGACTGGCAAAATAAATTCCCAAATAAGTCATCACGAAAAAAAACAATCGATGGATCTCTATATGTTTTGCGCCATAGTTCGCGATGAGCTATTTTGGTTCCCCACGCCAACTTTGAAGTGGTGCATACCAAGAAACGGGCAAATTATGGTGGACAGGGAGAAATATTCTGCGTGTTGGAGTTGCCATCCGCCTACCAGCAGTGGTCTGTTAGCCAAGCAAATTGGAGTCTTTGTCGGCTAAAATTTCGAAGTGGTGTCAAAGCTACCAGTTTTCCTCATCGATCGTCTTTCTGATTGTATGATCGTCGTGTTTGGGCCTCGAGGTTTTGTTGTTTTTCTTTGTCATAAAGATTTGCCTGTGTAACTCCGTTCTAACTAAGTTAGGCACCAATGCTTCGGCCAATGTTGATGCGCTATTGGACTGAGTAGATTAACTTTAATTTTCTTTATCATCTTATCTCCGGAGTTTTGCCATCTACCGGAAGAGTGATGCGTTCTTCTATGGCAGCTGATACTCATCAGATTAGAAAAAGCAAGTGGCGACGTTTTGATGCTCGCTTGGATGAAGTGCTCCTGAAGAAGCTCATCCAATGAATGCAGTGAGCATACATCTTACTACTAACAATTCAACGGCTGCAATTTTCATAGTTGTGGGATGCAAACTACCCATCCATTACCAGAGCTGCAATGATTATTGCGAACTTTCAACTAATCTTGGATAACGCAGTTCGATTAACACTTTTTTGGAGAGCTCTGCAATTTGCTCCCTTTGTCTCCGTGGTTGTCTCGAGGCTTAATGACAGTGAATAAAAAGTAATGTTAATATTGTCCTGCCCGCTTATGAAAAAATAGATTTTAGTTGTAGTGATCCTAATTTAAGTACAATTTTAATGGTATCCTGAAGGTGGTGGTTAGATTAAAATGTGCGAAAATCGAGTTCTGGAGCAAGTTATTTACCATCAGTCACCGAAAGCGAACCGAAACAGAGGCTGCCAAAACTGTGGTGTTTTCGGTAGTAAAGATTTACACGGGAAGTTGGTCTGGTCCGACTCCATTCTCCAGTGTCATGTTGCTTGTACCTGGTTGTTTGTGTGAGCGGAGTTTCAAGGTTCCAGTCGCTGCTGATTTTTATGTGACCACCGGTTTACAAATGAGTTATAAATCCAGATCGTTGCAAAGTTCAAAAGCTAAGGATGATTCTGAAATCGGAGATAACCTTTACATAATTTCCAATGAAATTCTATCGAGGTGGATATGTGGACAACGTTTGAATCGTTCCTCACTAGATGCGACGAATTACCCACCACTGGCTGTGATTATTGGCTCACCAGCTGCAACGATAGAAAAAGTTTCATGCACAAACCACAAACAACTGCTCTTTTTGAAGTTATGCGATCGAAAGTGATGTCATCATGTTTATTTAACCGTTCAAAACATTTTAGGAGGCAGTTGAAAAACTTGGAGAAACCACATTATGTGTAAAATCTTTCATTTTCTATACAGACAAATCGCACTGAGCCATGGTGGCCGCTGAAAATATAACTTCTACACAAGCAGCATAATTTGTGTACGTTTAAACAAATTCCAAATAAGATTTGACTTTTCGGAAAAATTTCACGATTTTGAATAAATTCCGTAAAGTGCTAAAACTTCAGGCATAATTTTCCCTACCATGGTTTGGGAGAAATTTCGGGCATGCCTCTGATATTCGGACACTTATGTTGAAAAAAAACATCAAATACTTCCTGCTTAAAATTGGTGTGATATAATATAACCAATTTTGAACAATACTGGTTCATGTATACAATGAAAATTTCTTTATTTTACTTACAACACATTTTTTCAATTTTTTTCAATACCATCATATTGTTCCATTTGTGTTACTATAGCAGTGAGAACGTACGCATGTGAAACTGAAGAGGCGCCAAATCGTAAACGAGAAGGTATGCAAACATATTTTGTATTTACTGCTGTTGATTCTAATTCTTACCGGTTTCTTACTGTCTTCAGACCGGTAATCAAAATAAGAACTGCACAGGCAGGTTGTAAAAATCACTTAATTTTTCTGCTACACTTGTTTCACGAAAAACATGCAGACCAACGTAGCATAAGGAGCTGTCGTAATTATGGAGTAAAATAGAAGAATCAGGTCCGTTCGCTCAAAAGTTCCAATGCTGCTAAACGGAGATTTTGACAAACAGTTCATCACATATTTCCCTGTACCAACAGAACCAAGAGATAGGAACTCGCGAGAAACGACCTTGCAGTTGTCACTCCGGTGGTTAAGGCCCATCTTAATTAAGCTGCCATTGACGAATAAGAGGAAAGATAATAGGATCAAAGTCCATGTCGTTGTTGACCAAGCACAACGCATGGAAAGCAGCCAAACATAATAAGAATCACTTTCGAAGACCAGAATTAGTTTGGTATACCTCTGTAAGCACGTTATCCGCTGTGGAGCGCGTTCGGTCTGACTCACCACACTGCTCCGCTAACACAAAATGTGCAACCAGAACGCCGAGCACTGCGAAAAACATTGATTGTGCTGGCAATTTAATTTGTGAACAAATCCTGGGATTCGGACGGTGATCTCTGTGGCTCTTCTATTTTAGAGTATCACGCTGACAGCGGTTGGTTTTCATCGAAACACCATTCCGGTTCACACCATTCTGTGTGAAGGACAGATCAATGCGGTCCAAACAACCGTCTCCTGGTGCTCCTGCATAATAACTAAAAACTTTTGGACGTCTGCTACGGTGCATGAATGTGTCAGTCATCTATTTATCTACATGCCAGAAATCGATGATCCTCTGTTACTATCCAGAGACTGGCCACCTGTTCGTTGGTCCAGTTATTTTAACACGATTAAATTTCAGCAAGACTTTTACTATATTTCGTTGCACTCTTGAATGTAACGGAAACGGGTGGCAAGATTGCATTCAGTTCACAAAATCAAATGCATCGAACTTTCAGTTTGACCTATGTAACAACAAGTTTGAAAACTTTAACCTGTTTCTGTTACGATCATGACAAATAATACAAATCATCATGTACGGAACCAGTAAAGGCAAAGGCGATCGTCATGCGATATCGTTACTAATATCAGATATACGACCCAAGACTTGTGCTTGTTTATCGGTGACTGTCTTGAAAGTATCCGAACGGGAACCTGTCCAGACCATTAACATTGGACTTGATAGGAATTTCCCAATAATGCTAAGAACGCCTTTTCAGTCACTGTTGAAAAAAACACGGTTCAGGGACCAAAATATCTAAATCTTTATTCATTATTTAAGCAAATCAGTGCTTGGAAACCTGTCTAGATACACTGTTCTCCTAGCCAATGGAATAGGCATTCGTCATCTGCGCTTGCTGTCTGACAAAGTTTACTGACTGTCATTGACAAACTGTGATTTACAGTGCCGTCGCCTCCTGTGTTCATCGTTGAAGAATGCATTTCTGAACGGAATGTAATTACGTTGGTATGGCAACCGTCGTCCACCACATCTATTGATCGATACACACTGGAACTTGACGATGGAGCAAATGGAAATTTCCGAGTATGTTCATTGACTGGCCATTCTTATCCCTACCTTACAATTAGAGCAGATATATTGTGGGTGCATGTATGCTTCGGGCTACTAAGGCCTTTTAAGTTTTCGTTGAAAGAAACATGAAAACCAAGACAGTGGTTGCGGATATTTGCTGGACAATGGCAGGCGCAAATAATAGCCCAGAAATACACAGAAGGTTCGTGGCCAGCATAACGTGAAGCTTACAACCTCACTTAACTTAGTGCAAATTCATATTTATCCCTCTGGTGCAGGGGAAACAGTCTATGGATTCCCATTCTAATTGCGTGCACGAACGACACAAACACCAAGGCCGTATTTTGCTTAAGATCTAGCGTTCTGTAGTCTACTTCAGCGGCTTTTCGGCATTCTTTATAAGTAATGGTCAACTACTAATTCAAGGCATAAGTTAAGTTTTCGTATTTCGTTAAAAATGTATTTGTGAATTAGAGACAAAGAACCAGAAAATAGTGTAAAAGCAATCCTTGAGTAAGGAGTCGTCGATTTGAGTCCCTTCTGGCCACTTCGCCTTTTACTTGGCGTTATGTCTTTCGTTGAATCTTGATATCTAACGTTGGAATTTGATAAACCAAAATACTGTTTTTTGTTTCCAATATTAAAGAATGTTTCGCAAGTTTCACTAAGATTGCTTTCACTTATTATTAGGTCTAATTAAAGCAGTCGGATCAGGTAAAACCACTTATCATTTATAATTTCGTTACATTTATTCCAAAACTTATTAAGCTGACCGGGTCCTAGAGAACGGCTGACGAACGTGATCTAACCTGAGCCATATGTTTTCCCATGTGAACATTAAATTGGTAGCGTGCAAAAGCTCTTCAGTAGTTCTGATGGGCTGTCATGTAGGCATGACACTCAAACAGTGCACTATTGCCATTTATGTCCAAAACTTTTTAGTCGAAGTTTGCAGATTGTTCGGGCAAATAGCGTTATATATATGTATATTTACCATTCTCAATGGACGTGCTCAGGTTACGCATCCTCATGTTTTAGACACAGATAGCGTTTTCTAATGTGATTTGTTCGAGAAATTCATTAACTGATTTTTATAAATGAAAGAACAAAGCGGATGAGTATCTAAGCCAGATAGGGAAGGAGAGCAAAACTAGTCTTCCTTAATGAATCTAGCTTATGCAGTGCACGAACAATTCAACTCAGCGGGTGCCACAGGGAAATGGGATCAGACAAAAAGCTAATTCTCGCAATTTTCCATCCACTGACAACAAACTGGCAGTGTGCTAGCTGGCGGAAAGATAGATGTCTATTGCTACGAAGAAATCTCAACAAACTTAAAGATGACAGTGTTATAAAAGAACAATGCACGTGGAACACCATTAGCGACTGTTGAAAAGAAGCCACTGCCATTAAAACCACATTTTATTAGTGATCATTAGGTGGAAAAGTTAGCCCAGAATTTGAAAATTCGTGCGAACACCCCACAAAGGACTGCAGCTCAGGGCGACATTTACTGAGGGACCAGTATATGACCAGTATATGCCTGTATCTAAAATAGCCTACATATTCTTCTAATAAGTAGAATGGGATATCCAGAGCGGAAGTAACAGTGCCTACTAATACACATCTGGCAGCAGACTAAAAATACTAGTACCGGGGTACAACCTCTGGGGTGCAAATGGGACGTAAAGCGAAATTCAGTGTCATGTGTCAAATGATGTCACAAGTAGAGATGCTTGCCGTCATTGTTACACGGTTCTTCAAACCAAAATTTTGTATGCAGAAGAATAGTCCTTAAACTGTGTCGTGATTGTGAACAACATTTTCCTAAAGTAACTAGTGCCACGTAAACCAAATCCATGTATTCGATGCTACCATGATCATCCAATAACACCGAGTTTGTTCAGTTAGATTACCAAAACTCCTCATGCTGTGTTATTTTGTCTACTTGCATTCCAACACACTAACCTTCTCACCCTTTTGAAATCTGAGAGTTGCATGGGTTGACCAAGGATTTCTTACAGGCTCCGCGAGTGCTTACATTACTCTTGTTCCATACGTATGTAGTGGAAGTTTCCTGAATAGGTAGTAGGTGGCGGCTTCAACTATAAGAGCTTTCCTTGTGAATGGTTCTAATTAAGCTTACCCTACAACGAATGGCCTGGAGTTGGGATACAGTTTGTTTTTCACACAGAACCTGGAAGTTCTTTTTCAGAACTTTGGTTTGGTACTGATGTTCGACAGTTCCTCATGGCTTTTTTGGGACACTCTTTCAAATAATTACAGTCAAATAGGCGAGGTCGTTGATTGTTGACTTGAATCCATAAAAGTTTATAGTCTTTGTCCGCAACATGAAGAAATGCAAATCGTATTCTTGAAACTGTTCTGAGAGATACCTTGAAGCACGCTTAGAATTAGTATGGTGTGTTGTCTGTGTACTAATTCCTAAATTATCTTCATTCATGTTTTCTGCCTGGCTTGTATAATCGTCCACTTAAACAGAATTTTCAGTCAGAAATATTCCCACCTGATTTGTCGCATGAAAATCAATTTTGTCACCGATTTTATGTTTTATATCGCATTTGGGACTAGAACGTTTCCCAAAGTGGGGTCATTCAGTTGTGTTAAATCGAATTTCGGTTAGAAAGCCTTGCAAGATTTAGGACGCAAATTCACCGAATTTGCGCAAATCTGATGGTCACATCTGGCGGTTTTGTCATTTTGATCACAAACTGTGGAAGTGGCCGATGTATCTATGAGAGATCATGGTACTAAAGGTCGCGAAAGGAAAATGGAACACTACCTGGAACATTCAGTGTTACATATATGCCGCAGAATTTCGGGTCTAACTGGTGTTCTGTGAGATACAACTCAGTTGGTTGCAGCAAATGTGGTGAACTCCCGGTTATTGCAACTTTCAGTAAAATCATGTTATTATTCCTGTTGTTTCAGAAAGTTTACCGCGGCCCTGAGACGATATGTACCGTTGAGGGGCTACATTTTCGCTCTGTTTATCGTGCTCGGGTCAAAGCACATAATCAAGTAGGCGAAAGTGCTTACAGTGAACGGATATGTTTGCAAACATCTGACTGTGAGTTTTTCTTGTTTCGGTGGTAAAAGTTTCATTGCATATTGTTACTGATGCAGAAAAGAGTGATTTTGTCACCAAATATTCAGGTTTGACTTACAAGGAGACTCACAGATGGCTTAAATCAATTAGTTAACAGTTTTTCTAGAACAAAGACAATTCAGTGGAGAACTAAGAGAGATATCTTTTATGTCGTTGCACGCGTCAGTGATCTCTCAGTTGATCATGTACCAAAGTAACTGAACTGTACAAGAACAAACGATTCCTTCCTTGCTTAACCTTCCTCAGAAGTCCCTGGGATTGGCGTTGCCAAAGTCACTTTATAGCAACTCAAACTAATCTACTTAAATCTCCTCGGTTTCCGGGGATAGTGGGCGCAGATCGAGGTATGGGTAATAAATCTGATAGATGGCATGTGATTCTATGCTAATTTATAACTCTTTAATTGTCAGTTAATTGGACTAACTCCGTACGCTTTCAATTTTGCATATGAAACCGTTGCGTGATCCAGAGGCGTTCTCCTTTTGTCACGTGCCCATGGGAATGCAAATATAGTGCGTCGATGTCGATCGAAGCCAATCTGACCTAAAGCACTCTACTTCAACCGCATTGTTCCAGTTAGTAGTGTGCTTATATATAGTTGCCTCTTAAATTGGCCTCCCACTAGCCTGAAGCAATGAGTAGAATTAGATAAAATAGTTAGTGGGGGAAATATTTCACCAGCTCCACCGACTAAAGCCGCTGGATCGTAGAACCAGTTAGGTTACCTATCTGTGCTGTTTGTGGCCAATGATGATATGATATATACTTTATACATGAACTGAATACAAGTCGTCATACAGAATACCAGTAGCTATCACTTTAATTGTATTTACCTCTCAACCAAAGATCTCATGGTTCAAACATTCTTTCAGAGTTTTTGAGACTAACACTTGCGACCACTGTCAATAAAGATGGAAAAACATGCAGCCGCAAATAGAATTACAGCAAGGGTTGGTTAAATCCAGCTGGGATTTTTGGATAAGCAGCACCGTATCTCTTGTAACTGCGATTTAACCCTACTGACAGCCAGTCATTTCTTGTTGAATTGCATAAGTTCCAGCTCCCACCGCGAGGGACGTAGATCGGATTTACCAGATGGTTAACAAGATGCACGCTCTACAGTGCTTCATGGCCCTTCCTCATGGATAAACTTCACTTACAGGACGAAATCGCGATGGTGGAATGGGTCTGATAATTTAATGATAACCGAAAGCTAATCGGAGCACGACAATTTGTTCCCAACAATTAGATATTTGTGTCGGATGCTTGCTCCGTAAATGAGGCAGACACAAAATCTCTTAAGAACCATTTTGGCTTTTGAATTCCAACTGCTGTTAATGCACCGTTCACGTCCGCAATAATAAAAATAATCTGGAATTCCAACGTTATGCGTTCCGCACTATCTCGTTTTGTAGGTAACAGTTTAAATGACCGTTTTCAGTAACCAGTAGATAAAATCTTAGGACTTTAGGCTGGTTTACTGTGTGGCATTTACTTCAAAACCGCAGTATAGTTGACATCTGTTAATTCTTCAACGGCGCTCTCTCTGGTGGCAGGTCATTTCACAGGGAATCATCAGTGTAGTCAGTAACAGGTCCTTATTTCGTGCACCCAAACCGATGACAGATCGTTTTTTCAGAGGCGAAGAATTCTCCATCGTCAATCAGTTCTCTATATATAGCGGGAGCACTGAAACTGTAATCATGTTTAGTGGTATATTTGTCCATTTTGGCATGTAGACAAGCCTGATTACGGAAACTTCAGGTCTGTATGACATGTTAGTTCTGGTTTTGCGTGCACCGACCTTGTTGGCTAGTCATTGTATACGTTTTTGTAGAAACAAATTATTCCGGCTGTCTTTCTTAGTTGGGTTCGCCATGGAATGACATCGCGCTGTGTGGGAGGCATTATATTCATTTTTATGGCGAACGAATGTCTGATTGTCGGTCAGTGTTTTAGAAGCACCGCCAAAGAGTGCTGTGTTCATTGATTAAGAAAGTTTATTAGCGTTGCGCCGATTTAATTAAAGACTGATGTCAATCGATCTTAAAATGTTTTAACCTTTCCAAAAACTGATGTGATCTGACTGTAGATGGATGACAAATCCTTGCTTCAGTAATACAACTTGTGGTGTCATCTGGTTTCTCGAACGTCGTATTTGTAGACTGTGGAATAGTTGAGTCTCCTTAGAGATCTGTGACATTCACAATGATTTTCGCAATAAAATGGGATAGAAACTACGTACACCGTTTTTTAGCCCTCTTGTATGTGCTGATCTTAGCTCGATGATGGCGTTCAAACCTCATCCAACTCTCAAAAATTATCCTATCGGTTGGTTTCTGCCCAGAGTGTATGCCGTGACCTCTTGAACTGTAACCTACTTAACTCTGAGAAGAAGTTTCTTCCTTATCGAAAAATGTTTTATAAACATACAGACAGTTGCTACGTGCAATATCCTACAATGATTTTCCTTAGTGCAAAACCGTCGCAAATGGGAAACCCCATCTTCTTTAGACCCGAGAGCATAGGGAGGATGCCAAGGAATTTGCTCCATCATTACATTGAAAATTGAAGGGGACACTGATTTTGGTAACCGGCAAGATTTTTCACGACATTTTAATCAACATTGCAACAATAACTTCCATTTTCAACAGTCACTTGGTTCCATCTGGACTCGACCGTTGCTGCACCAGAAATCCTGTTAACAAATGGCAACAGGACAGTTACGAGTCAGGTAGCAGAAGATCGAGTGATAATTGGCTCTACTGGATTATCGCGTGGCGTTCATTACTGGGAATTTACCGTGGACCGCTGTGATGCTGGCGGGCAACCGGCGTTCGGAATAGCCAGACAGGACTGTAACAAGGAAATCATGTTGGGTAAGTATGGTTGGAAGGACAGTCTAAATCCTTCGCTTCAGAGTCGCATTTCAGTTGTGTTGCTGCTCACTCATAGGAAACTTCACAGACATAAACGTTCCTGTTTTCGACGCAATGATTACACTGACTCAAAAAACGGTCATCTGGAAGAACAAATAATAGCTTACAACGGTAGAGGAACAAAGCATTATCTTGCACCGCTTCAATGTTACGAGTCATCATGAAGGACATAACCTGACTTTTAGGACTCTTCTCCATAATACCTGGAGTGAAATGAAACAGGCCACATCAGATATTGTTTGGGGAAAGGTTAGTTTAGATCATCACGTTCGCACTGATCATCTGCAACTAAATAATCTAATTGTTTCAATTCCTTTGTACTCATTTTAACCACGTCAAACGAACCACACATCTTCGACAAAAAAATCGGAACCATGGAGCGAGAAGTTTGCACAGGTGACTCAAGAGATATACAAAATTTTGATGGTCAAGGAACGTAGCCTATCCAACGTCAACGTTACATTCATGTGAATTCAGTGTTGGCCAGATGAAATAAAATCGTCTCGCTAAGCAAATCCGACGTCAGTCCTACAATGTCTGCGTCAAAATGCAAGCACCACTGAAGTGCCTGGATGCCAATTTCCAGCACTGGCCTTTCCACTCTGGGCCCAAATAAGCCAAGAGTATACTTCGACATGACACATTTAACGACTTTGACTGGAGTGTCGCCGGGTTTTAATGCATGACTTCAGCGTTTGAACAAACCATCCTGCATATTGATGAATAAATGGACATCGGGTGGCTGAGATGGGATAAGGAAGCTCTAGTTGCATTTTACCAAACAGTGGAAAGATCAGTGAGCCTACGGATTGTGGATGTCAGGGGGTCGGGCGACTATTACGAGGAAAGTTCACAGTGCACTGAGGCGAACATCTCCCCAATGTATGTCTGGGTTGATGGATCTCTTGACTGGTTGTCAGCTTTTGTTTCTCTGCAGCTTGAATGGGTGCAATTATTACTTAAAACGGAAGGTACAAGAGACCGATTCGTCTGACGTCACGGTATTCGAGTGGGCACTCCACTCACAGTGAGCTCCCCAGAGTGTACTGCAATTGGTCAGTTTCCGAAACCGTACGGACTGGAGGTGGACAAATCAATCGGAAGGAGTGTTTATACTCGGAAACTTGACCTATTGGAGTTGCGCTGTTTCAAACCAGTGATGAAAGAGTGCAGTATGGCGTCTATAATCGTTACTTCGCCAAGTCTAGAGCTCTGGAAACAGTTCGGAGAGTAAACGACAGGATATTTGATGTGAGAGCGTAAACATTGATGCATTGGGTGGAAATACGGCTGGAATATGGCTGGAATAATTCCGCAGACACGTGCTGAATGATGTGGAGATAACAAACTGGTCAGCCGGGTTGGAAACAAAAACCACAAAACCTATAATCAAGAGTAGAATACGGAAAGTAAAAAATAGGACGCACAGATGGTCGATTATTTATGCTGAAGAGACTGAACCCGCTTTCTAAAACCGGCGATATTTTTAAGACCTGAAATTTCACAGAAGAGTACCTTTGAGCACTTTTTAGCTGCAAGCAATGGGCAGTACGCCTGTTTGGATGGATGATACCGTTGCAGTACCATCGTCCCAGAACAATGGGCCGGCTCGGACGGTGCTTGGTAGGGCTGAATACGAATACTTGTCTTGCGCAAATGAAAATGTGTGAATATCTCTTAGAGGGAAACCTCGTTGGACATCTATCTGTTGAACACTTAAGGGACATGATCGTTCTGTGTGTGGATATTGTCCAAAGATTCCACAATGACAGCAAACGTGAATCCCTCAGTGAAACAAAATAATTTTCTACCTTTATATCTTTTTGTAACGATTTAAAGCAAACGACCTGGGAATCAGAGTCTGGCTACTGATTCAATCGACATGACCGTAAACTGTCAGCAGTTGTAAGTGTACTACCTTCTTGGCTAAATATCAGCTTAAACATACTCTGAGCAGTAGGTCAACGTTAATGAAATCTTGGACCCAGGGTACTTTATGAAGATGGTTCATCATCGCTGAGATGAAATAAATTGTTGTGCATGAGATCAGGGCGCATCACTATTTCTGTTGCTAAAACATTTAGCGGCGGCAACACCCTATGGGGAAGTTGCCAACCTAATGAAAGGTTCCTTAATACCTCACGTGATAAAGCTAGTAATAAGTGGTATATTCTTATTATCATCCGGAAAAGGTAGAGCTGAATAACCATGGTGTTGATGCTTTTGCGGCACCGGAGCAGAAAATACATATGCTCAAACAAACCGAGAGAAATAACGTTGAATAGCGCAGCACTTCGGCCTCCTGTTGAAAAGATACGAATTCCTTCTATTCTCAGGAATCCTAATTCAAGTGTTCTGAACTAAGGGAGATGTCAAAAGCATTAAATTATTGAGAACCTTCTTGAGGGAACTCACTACAACTAACAAAATCTGAGTGAGCTGACGATTGCCATTTTGGAGTCAGTAGGTGAGTCCAATGCAATGATCTCACAGTGACATGACGTCATTTCTAAGGCGTTGGACAGTAACTCGGCAAAATACAATTTCCAGCTGTCTTGATCACACTCCAGCTGTGTGTAATAGGTGTAAACCAGAGAACGTGTTCAGTCTCGATGAAGCATAGGAATTCTTCACGGAAGTGGGAAACCATTGTAGGCACGAAAGGATCAAGGATCTCAGTACTGTGTTCCTAAGTTGTGGTGTCGTCCACGTCAGGTCGCTACCCTTCTTCGTGGGCAAATGCAAGAGGCCAAGGTACTGAACGCTGTAAAGATTGCCAATTGCACTGACCGCAAGGTGATCTGACAAAAAGTAGAGTTCTTATGATGTTTATCAAATGGATCCCATTTTCCTTTATCTGGCTGAATAACGTTAAGCTGGGATTCCTACTTGTGCTTACAGATATCATCATCATCATCATCATCATAATCATCAGTGACCGCGACATCAGATGGAAACACAATTGCTTCACTGCTCTACAAGTGTGTCAGTTTATGGGTAAAGTCTTATAATAGAAAATAATAAAATGGGGTAGAATGGGAACCCAGAGCTGGCTCAAAAGAAACATACGAGTTGCCTACACTTCCAACACTCAGTCACACAATCTGGCTAGAAAACGACAGCATGAGCGTCACGACATCAATTGTGTCAGTGACTATGTTACCAGGTTGTTCACTGTCTCCAGCCAAGCAAAAACCAGTGCCGGAAGGTGAACATCCTTAACAGCGTTGAGATTTTTCGTAACGCCCCTAATTTCTTTGTACCATGTCAAATTCTGCCCACTTTCTGGTTCCAATCACTCCAAATTAGGCGTGCCAAAGAACGCTCTTCTCAGCAGTAAGTAACTTGAAGTATATAGTACATGCCTAAACTAACTTGTGTTGCGGTACTTGAAGTGTCTAAGTCTCGCATTTGTATAACAATACTGTAGTCTGGTATGCACTTCTTTCGGACCCAGTGGTAAATTATTTTGATGCCACAAGTAGCTCAAATTGACAAGAAGAAATATGAGCTGTAAGACTGGCTAGTCTGCTCATGCCAGATTCAACTTTTGAGATGCGCATAGCATTGCATAACATTTAGATTCAGTCTCTGTGGATCTTAGTTACGTCGTAGAAGACTACGACCTGCAGTATGACCTTGCAGTTTGTGGACTCAAAGCATCTGCAGAAGGACTGGACGACTCCAGTCAGCTTCTCCAATAAGGCTTGCACGTTCTCTTTTTTGAAATTCCAGATTGATAAAGTTATCACTCGGAGAGATGTGAACATCCGGGTTTCACAGACCACTTAAGGTTCTTTCCAATGCCGTATCGGTGAAAAAACTAAACGCAATCGTGGAAAGAATGGGCAACTTTATGGGCACAACTGCTTGCGGCAATGCTTCAAAAGATCCCTCCATAAACTCTCACTTATCAGAAGCAGGACTCCTGCAGTTCATAAATATGGATTGTTGCAGATAGCCTTTGCCATACTCTTTTATTCAGTGGAAGTTTGGTGTAACTCGAATTGGACTCTCTGTGGAATAAATGAGCCATTTTAGCATGCTTTCGTCACTAGATTCAGTTCTTAGATGTTACTTGTGGAGCAAGTGGGCCTGAACCACTCTGTCTGTTGTGACACGGCAGAAGTTTTTTTAAGTGACGCCTTGATAAACAGACCAAACTCACCTCTCCTGCTACAGAAATTCAAACCATATTTGAGACACTGGAGTCAGAGCCAATTAAGTGGCCCCAAAGCTCAAAGTTTACACAGTCGCTGGTAGGTTTTTAGCGTCATGGTACACATATAGCAATAGAGTTGTGTGGTTGTCTCCGGAGAGCACAAAGGATACATAGAGGTTACCGACGAATACGAAGGGATAACTCCGAAGTTTGTTGCGATGCACCGTAATTCTATGGTCTGGAGTTTTGTAGTATAGCCGTAATGAAATATGAAGAAAATGCTCAACACTGATTAACTTACAAGAAACTAGGCAACAAAAGAGCAAATGCTTTGGAAATTTGTTTTTGAGTGAATATAAGAAAGTATTTCTATGATGTGTTGAAAAATGGATCCAATCAAATTGAATTATTGTTAATCTTTTAGAAGTATTACGCGTTGACAGCGGACTGGTGAATGTATTAAACAACGCCCTCATAATTTGACAACACTACCCTGTGGTTTAAGCACGCCGGATTGTGTAAAATTGCTACATGGACGGATTAGCTAGTGTGTTATGCGCACTCGGACGTATAGGGCGTATTCAAATGGACAGCCCCGAATACTGCGTGCATATCCAAGGTTCATGTTACAAATAGCGTGCGTCAGCCACACGTCCGTCCCATATGAGCTTATTGCACGAAATCGTGCTGCACACACCTAAAATATTCGACTTAACACAGCACTCACAATACTGAAAAAAACGTGGTTATATGGCACCCTCCTCTGTGTGTACCGACT